ACCCTCTGCGAGAAATCAAACATCCTTTCAGTCCGAACAACTTGCTTAGCATTCGAGGAGAGGAGAGAGGTCGTGGAGGGTGAGAAGGCGGAAGGAGACCCCGGAGGGAAGATTGTTCAAAGGCGCGAGAGAAGGCGAAAGGAAGCCAGCGGGCAAAGGACAGAGAAGGGGAAGGGATAGGGGCAGAGGGCGCACGAGGAAACAAAGGGCGGATAGTTAAGGAGAGGGGTGGGCAGAGGGAGAATGTAGAGGGAGCGCGGGGTAGGCACGTTGCGCGGGGTATTCGGGCAACAGTGGAGAAGGTCAAGACATCGCTGTGGTTGGGCGGGGAGGGAGGGAGTGAACAGTGGGAAACCGACCCCAGCCCCCACAACTATGGATTTTACATGTCAGCGTTCTGCATGTATGGCGAACGTGCGTAAGTGTAGGCGCCCTGTCGGCGAGGCCATTGCCAGATGCCGCGGGGTTGGGCCCGCGCTCGCGGCGACGTCCTGGGCCCAGTCGACGCGGCCGCGCCCGCGCTGGCATTCCCAGGGCCGCGCGTGCCACGGCCGCGGCATGCAGGTTGAGGCGACGCCGGCGCCGTCCCTCGCACGGCAGCGCCGCTGGCCCAGCCGAGGGCCCCCGCCCCCGCTCCGTCGCCCCGTCGTAACCCGCCGACGGAAAGCTTAGTTCCTGTATAAGTCTTGTAGTTTTTATATAAAGCGCCAGCCAGACTTTTCGCTTCGGGGGAATTTCGGTTGATTTTATACGAGATTATATAGATTTATAGATTATTTGCCTGGTGTCTAAACTCTGTTTTTGGAGTGGATCTAAACTTTTCGATGCGCGCCCGTGCGGGGCGGGCCCAGGGCGCCAGGTTCCTGCCATCGCCGGTAAAGGCCCCCTTTTTTTGCCGGGCACGAGTGCACGAAGATCCACAATGACTTTGGGCATTGATTGTGCGCCAACACAAGACCAAGCCAAGTTCAAGCCCCAATGAGCATATCAGCAGCGCACCGTTCGCATTGAATTGCGCGGCGTTGCCGTTGGCTGACCGTCGAGCTATTTCCGCTTGCAGTTCGGGCGTCGTTCGACGGTCACAGTCGTCTAAAGTTCCTCATGTGGGTGGCGGGGGTCGTGTTTCATGCGTTCAGGGAGAAAGGGTCTGTGAATGATGGCGGGAGGGCCAGATCCACCCCGCGCTTTCGGCGTTCCATTCTCACCCAGATGCGTTCCTGCATGGGCCCTGCGGCTCACCCAGGGGGGATCCGAGATCTTGCATCCAGCAGTTCAGGGACTTCTCCTCGGCCTTCCAGCGGACTTATCTCCGGCCCCCCAGCTTCAGAGTCTGGCGGCCGCCCGGCGAGGCAAGCACCTCATCAACCGGCTTTTCGGTTTCGCACTGTGTACAGAAATCCGGCCTCTGAGAGTTTGAAATCCGCCCGATTCGAACTGAGGTTTGGAAAGCCTTTTCGAACGCCGTTCAAAGACCGCCAACCCTTTTCAAAAGCCTTTTTCAAAAGCCTCCCGGCTTTTTGGTTTCCGCATCGTTTTTCAAAATTTCAGAAAATCCCACAGGGAATTCTCCCAGTACCCAGCCGATTTCGGGAAAGCTCTGGCAAAAGCCCGCAGCGCTCCTCGACCATCCCTGAGGCGTCCCAGTATCCCAGACGACGACGGCCCAGGAGAGTTTGATGCAGAGCGGAGGCGATAGCGAGACTGCGGAGGTGGATGGCGGCGACGACGACGAGGGCGACGATACGTGCCACAGCGGATGGGTGGGGCGAGGATGGCAACGTCCAAGGTGCAGCGACGAAGCATTCAGTACGAGAGGCGAACAACAATTGATGGACATGCGGGTAGGGGCCGCGGATATCGGGAAACAGGACGGAAATCCAGGGCATCGCATGCCCGCCATCGTCGTCGGCGTCGCCATCTCATCCGCCTCCTCGTCATCGTCCTTGCCCCATTCACCCCCTCCTTCCCGCTGGCCAGCCCAGCCACCCTGCTCGCGTTCGCCCTGCCACCATCCAGATTCACCCAGCCCCTCGGCCCCCCGCGGGCGATTTTGCATAAGCAGGGCCCTCAGGAGAGGAATTTTCAATCATGCGCAAACGGTTTTTGGACGGTTTTGGTATGGTCTCCGCGGGAATCCGTTTGCGAGTTTTTGAAGGGTTTATGACATCATGGGCGTAAGCCCGAGTCTAGCGGAACGTCGATAACATACAAATGTGGAACACATGCACCTTCCCGATTCCTTGGGTCGGCGCTGAGCCTTCCTCAGGCCGTCTCTGGCGGTGCCCCTTCGCGCTCCGCTTGCCAGGGAGGGAGTCCAGTTCCGATCCAAGAAGACCGTGCGGACCTCCGACCGTGTGCGTCAACGCGTTCGTCGGTTCTGCCACGAAGAAAAAGGTTCGAGGATTTCAGTGTGGAGTGGATGGTTGCTCTTCGACCCCTTCTGTGAGCGAGGGAGCGTCGGGCGCCACCGCGTTCGCCCGCGGTCGCCGCGAGACCGCTCTCGAGGCCTGCTTCAGTCGCTCAGTCATGTTCCCGAAGAGCAGGAGGAGGAGGATATGAGGGAGAAGAGGAGGCGGAGGAGTAGGAACAAGAAGCAATCGCGCAGACAAGAAAAAACAAGGGGGAGGACTTCGAGGCAGAGGAAGAGATCGTCGAGGATGGGGCACCTCGCACCGCCGCCCCCCGTGCGAGCAGAGAGCCCCGATGGTGGCCCGCCGCTCCCGCGGCCGAAGCTCAGGCGCCGACCGTTTGTCGGCTGGGGCGCAGCGGCCGTCAGCCGCCCCTCCCGCGGGGCGCGGCGCCCCCGCGCGGTGATGGCCGGCGGGCTGCCCCGCGGAGCGCCGGGCTCGATGCCTGCGCTGGGCGGCCCGCCCGCCTGCCAGGCTCGGGCACAGGCCCAGGGGGGAGCATTCGGTATCGCTTAACCAATCCGATCAGTCCCCATCCCCATCCCCTCCGAGACTGCCGCCAAATGACCCCCCCTCGAAACCCGCAGGGAACGGCCTACATCCCCATCTCGGGGGGGTAACTCGGCCAGTGGGGCCCAGGCCACGCCGCTGGGGATGGGGATCACGATACTCAGGCGTATACTAGGCCTGCTCGCGTCGTTACGATATTCAGAGATCCGATCGGATCCGATTTTGTCCAATCTGGCGGTTTGGTTCCTGGAGTTCGGCCTCCAGGCCCCGTTCTCGGGCCCGGGGGGCATCAAAAACGGATCTGGGACGGAACAACCATATCGGGACCTTTGGGGTCGGGACCATCTGGGGCCGCAGACTAAGCAAACTCATACCGGCGGATGTCGCGAAAGAATCAGGACGGGAGCTTCTCGCCGTTTTCGGCTTCCGGGGGCCCTTTCCAGGCCTCGGGGCCCTCAACAAAAACGACTCAGGATGAGAAAAATTGGTCCTGGGGAACGGGTCGAGACCTCATGAGCAAATCAGGATGTCGGGGTTTTGGATGGAGGAGACAAGATGCCCCGGGAACGTTCTTACAGCGTACGGCCCTCCGCAGGCTCTGAGTTATCACCAGCTTAGAATCTTCGCTCGTTGACTAATCCTCTGAGAAGGAGAAGGAGGAGGAGGAAGAGGAGGAGGAGGAGGAGGAGGAGGAAAGGGAGGAGGAGGAGGAGGAGGAAAGGAAGGAGGAGGAGGCGGAGGAGGCGGAGGAGGGGGAGGGGGAGGGGGCGTGGGATCCCCAGCTGACATCATCCTCGCCCGATTGTTCCCCCGTGCGGCGCTGCAGGCCCAGTCGACCTCGCTGCCAGACCTGCGGGCGGGCAAGCTGGACCGGGCCGCCCGCGGCAAGCCGGCGCGCCCCGCGCGAAGGCGCGCCGCCGCTGCCTGCGCCGACGTGGGCGCCGCCTACGGCGCCAGCCGGAGCGCGCCAGCGGCGAGCAGCCGGCAGCCGGCTGCGGCGCTGCCCGCAGGTGTCGTCGGCTGCAAAGGGTGTGGTTACGCCAGGGTGTGGTTTGCGATTGGCACCGTCCATGGGGGCCCGTGGGCACGACACGGTCCTCGTCGGGCCTCCTCGCGGCGCGGCGGAGAGCTCTGTCGAGGTCCCCGCCAGCCCCCAGGGGTGCCCCTCAGGGTGCCGGTTGCAAACCACACCCTTTGCAAACCGCACCCTGCGGGGACGCCGAAGGTGGCGCGCAGACGGGCTGCGGGCGGCTGCCGCAGCTGCGGCGGGCGGATGAGGCGCAGGCCGAGCAGTGGTGAAGCGTCCTGGCTTACCTACGGGCCAACCCAGGAGTGTTCTGAGAACCTTCTGTGGTTTTCCCAGAGATGTTCTTAGAGCATTTCTGGCCGAAAACGTCTGGCTTCATGAGACATCGGCGTCATGCTCTGAGAACATAGTTTTTGCTGACCGAGACCGTCTGGCTTTCATACGTCGGCATTCTGTTCTGAGAACATGATCTCTCCCTCGGGACATTCTTCTGTTCTGAGAACAGCTCCTGGTAGGCTTGCAGGGATTCCGGGACGGTCGGTCTCTGCTCGAGCAGGTCCCGTCGGCGGCCCAGCGCCAGCCCGCCGTGCGCCGGGCCGAGCTGCCCGAGCGCGGGGCGAGGACGGACAGCTCGGAGGAGGGGCGGCCGAGGCTGCGGCGGCCCTCGCGGGCGTCGCGTGTCCCCCGGTCGGGCCTCCTGCCGGGGCTCCTCGGCGCCTCTCGCTGGGGTCCGCTTGGCCCTCGGCGAAGGGCGGGACAGGGAGCGATGATGGGCCCGCTTTCCACCACCACCATCAGTTGGAGGGGGGAAGGAGGAGCAGGAGGAGGGGGAGGAGGAGGGGGGGGAGGAGGAGGAGGAGGAGGAGGAGGAGGAGGAGGAGGAGGAGGAGGAGGAGGAGGAGGAGGAGAGGAGGAGGAGGAGGAGGAGGAGGAGGAGGAGGAGGAGGGGGAGGACCCCTTCCCCCTCCAACTTATGGTGGGGGTGGTGGAAAACAGGTCCATCAGGGAGGACCCCGTGAGAGGTCCAGGCCCGGGGACAGATGTTGAGCGGAGAGGCGGGCCGGGGGGAGAGTCGCCGTGGTCTCGGCCGGCGTTCCTCGGAACAGCGGCTTCATGCCGGCGAGCAGGGCGTACTTCGAGCGGGCGGTGCAGGCCGGCCTGAGCCTGCCGGGCCAGGGTTCCGAGGCGGAGATTTATCCAGATCCACCGCTTGGGGGGTCGATCCTCGCGGACCTCCACAGGCGTTGGATATGGATATGTTCAGGCCCTCGGGGGCCAGAATAGATCCATGTCCACCGCCAGCTGGGCCACCAGGACGTCGGTTCCCAGGCGGTGGATATGGATAAATCCCCGACTCGCAAGGGTTAATTACATTTCGAGCCCATTCCTGGAGGGTTAGAAGCCAAAATGAAATAGTGAGGCGTCCTGGGAGATTGGGACATCCGCGTTCGGCCCAAAGTGCCGATGGCATGCATAATAATCATCGCGATCGGTTACGGGAGGCCCATCGGGCCCATGCAAGCAAGCCAGTGCAACGAATTGCCCCGACATTTCCTGGACAGCGCCTCGTTCTCGGTGCAGTCTACACCCAATCCTACATGTTCCTCACATCCCCTCTGGGGCACCTCCCTTTTTTTCACGCCCCATCCAATCGTTGTTTTGATATTTTCTCAGACAACCCAGAATTCAGTGCTTGATCGGGGGCCCGCTCGTTGTCAATGACGGAGCCCAAGTCCAGGGCACGTCCCCCTGCATGGACCTTTGCTCCCCCCCCTGGCAAGCAGGGCGGGTTCTCCACGCAGCTGCAGATGCTCGATCAGGGACCCCTGGGCCTGGCGCGGCAGAACGTCGCGACGCGCAAGAGGCTTGGCCGCGCAGCCCCGGCGCCAGCCCTCGCCCCTGCGCGCACCGCGAGCTCCGCGCCGCTGCAGTCCAGCTCGCGCCGCCTGCTGCCGCTCTCGGCCAGCTCGGGAGGCGCTGGCGCCGAGGTTCCGCAGAGGGCACACAGTGCGCAATCACCGTGCTTTACAAGGGCCATCCTTGACACCAGCAGTATATGTTTATGTACATGTACATGTACACATACATATATATATATATGTGCACGCACATACTTACTTATCTACCTACCTACCTACCTACCTACCCACCTACCTACCTACCTGCCTACCCGCATACATACATACATACATACATACATACATACATACATACATACATACATACATACATACATACATACATACATACATACATACATACATACATACATACACACATACATCCATGCATGCATGCATGCATGCATACATACATACATACATGCATGCATGCATGCATGCATGCATGCATGCATGCATGCATACATACATACATACATACATACATGCAAACAACTAAGCAAACACACATACATGCACACAGACAGACAGACAGACAGACAGACAGACAGACAGACAGACAGACAGACAGACAGGCAGGCAGGCAGGCAGGCAGACAGACAGACAGACAGACAGACATATGTATAGAGACAGAACAAAACACGTATGTGTGCACATATATGTATATATATATACACATCCCTGGGGACAGGCCCGGGGCCCGAACACAGCTGCCTCGACCCTCCATGGGAGGACCGGGGCCCCGGACTGCTTCCAAGACCCCCTTGTGACGGTCCAAGTCGGCCCCTGAACGGGTGGAAAGGGCCGCCCCAAGAGGGCGCAAGGACGCTCAAGAGGGCCCCAGAAACGTCAATCGATGCATTCAAAATGCTAGAGATGACCTCCAAACGGCTCAAAAAGCTCCCAAAGACCGTCCCCAAGAGGGCTTCAACAGGAAATCAAACATCGATGTCCAGTTGGTTCTTCAACGTTTTTTGGTTTTTCGCTCGTTCAAGTCTCCGACGCTCCGAAACGGTCCGAGAGGCCCCCGAGACCGCCCCAAGGCGGCCCAAGAGGCTCCCAAGACGGCCCAAGAGGGCCCCAACACGCCAGCCCAAGAGGGCCCCAAGGCGGCCCAAGAAGGGCCCAAGACGGCCCAAGAGGACCCGAGGACGGTCCCAAGAGAGGCCCCCGACGGGAGGGGGGGGGCACGGACCGAAATTCGAGGCTTCCGCCCCAAGAGGCTCCCAGGACCCAAGAGTCCCGCGAGAGGCCCCACGATGGCTCCAAAACGGCCGCCGAGAGGCGCCCAACACGGCTCCAAAAGCACTCCAAGCGGCCCCTAACAGGCCTCAAAGACGCTCCAGAGACGCTCTGCATGGAAGGGGGCGGCAGGACAAGGAGGAGGAGGAGGAGGCGGAAGATTAGGGGGAGGATGTGACGCGTAGCAGAGGGAGGACGAGAGGGAGGATGCCTGGACCCGAAGGAGGTTGGGTTGATCAGAACGAGGAGGGTGGCAAGCGGAATAGGCTTGGTTATTCTGCAAAGCGCGTTCCGGCAAGATTATGGTAGAACGCGTTGGAGGAGGATCATAATTAGAGCGGAGGAGAGGGGACCAGAGGAGGCCATGGAGGAGGAGGAGGAGGAGGAGGAGGAGGAGGAGGAGGAGACTTGGAAGGCGAGGTCGAGGATGAGGAGGAGAAGGCGGAGGAGAAGGCGGAGGAGGAAGGAGGAGGGAGGAGGAGGGAGAGGGAGGGCGCAGAGGGGGAGGAGGAGGAGGAGGAGGAGGAGGAGGAGGAGGAGGAGGAGGAGGAGGAGGAGGGGGAGGAGGAGAAGTAGGCGGGGGGGAGGAGGAGGAGGAGGTTAATGAGGAGGAAGACGAGGAAGGAGGAGGGGGATGAGGAGGAGGAGGAGGAGGTGGAGGAAGAAGAAGAGGAGGCAGTGGAGAAGGATGATAACGAGTTGATCGAGGATGTTGAGTAGGCGCAGGGAGCACATAATGAGGAGGACGTGGAGGAGGAGGAGGAGGAGGAGGAGGAGGAGGAGGAGGAATAGCAATGATGATAATACGGATCATACTAATAACAAGCTCAATCATGATAAGAACATTATTAGTAGTAATAATCATGAATAATAAATGATACTAATTCTACGAATAGAAAGAATAGTAATAGTAAGAGAAGTCGTAGTAATACGTATAATATGAACAACAAAACTAACAATCTTAATGATGACAATATTAATCATGAATGATCGTACCAATTATACAAACACTAAAGGTTACTACTCATGATACTTAAATAGTAGTGGTAATACCAATGCCACTAACTACTATTGATTCCCCAATCAGAGCTTGCCTCTGTAGGGGTCCTATCGGATTTAAGGGTAGGTGAGATTTGCCGCCGATTCGATGGCCGGGCTCGGGTGCCCGGGTGCCCGGGTGCCCGGGTGCCCGGGTTCGCCGCCGATTCGGTGGCCGGGCCCGGGTGCCCGGGTGCCCGGGTGCCCGGGTGCCCGGGTTCGCCGCCGATTCGGTGGCCGGGCCCGGATGCCCGGATGCCCGGGTGCCCGGGTGCCCGGGTGACGGGTGCCCGGGTGGGTGCCCGGGTGCCGAGTGCCGGGTGCCCGGGTGCCCGGTGCCCTGTAGCCCTATAGCCTTATGGTCCTATATCCCTATCGCCCCATAGCCCTGCAGCCCTATAACCCATATAGTCATATAGCCCATATAGCGCCCAAGAGCCCATATAGCCCTGTATAACCCTATAGCCCTACAGCCCTAGAAAGATCATGATTGGGTTTTTCTCTGGTATCACAATATTAATATTAATACTGATAATACTAATGCTATTGATGCGAATCGTAAGAGGAGGAGGAGCAGAAGGAGGAGGAGGAGGAGGACGATGACAAGGAGGAGGAGGAGGAGGAGGAGGAGGAGGAGGAGGAGGAGGCGGGAGGAGGAGGATGACGAGTAGGCGGAGGAGGTGCAGGAGGAGGGGCCGCCGATGCTCTGCGCTCTGCTCCGCCGCGTCGCCCTGGAGTTCCGGCGATTTTGCAGAGCGCATTCTGGCCAGACTCTCGAGGAGGAGGGGGATGAGGAGGAGGAGGATGAGGAGGGAGAAGAGGAGGAGGGCCAGGAGAAGGACCAGGAGGAGGACCAGGAGGAGGACCAGGAGGAGGACCAGGAGGAGGACCAGGAGGAGGACCAGGAGGAGGAGGAGGAGGAGGAGGAGGAGGAGGAGGAAGAGGAGAGGAGGAGGAGGAGGAAGAGGAGGAGGAGGAGGAGGAGAGGGAGAGAGGAGGAAGAGGAGGAGGAGGCGGGGGGAGGGGAGGTGGAGGAGGAGGGGGAGGATCAGGAACAGGGACAGGAGGAGGACTCGGAGGGCTATACATGAGGTCTAGGAGGAGGAGGAGGACAAGAGGAGGAGGAGGAGGAGGTTAAGCAGGAGGTATAGGAACGGGGAGGAGGAAGAGAAGGAGGACGATGAGAAGTAGGCGGAAGGAGGATGAGGAAGAGGAGGAGGTGGGGAGGAAAAATAGGCGGAGGTTGAGAAGAAGGTGGGGGACGATGGCGAGTAGACCAGGAACAAGGGCAGGAGAAGCAGGATGAGGGGGAAGCGGAACAGAAGGAAAGGAGGAGGA